TTAGGTACCTACTTATAAGAAAATAAATACCGGTGTCCATTGTAGTTCCGTTCGTCACGTACGACAATCCAAACCTTAATTGTATTATTTAAAAGCACACGCGTTTGCTTCGGGGTGGAAATAGGACGTTGCTACTGCATTTATTCAACACACTAGAATTGTATCTGACCTCAGTCCCAGCTAGCCATTCGTCAATTAGTTACCGGTATGCAGCGTCTGGACTGCGTCCCTGCTATTGTTGATGTCCAAGAGCGACAATGACCACTCATCATCGGATAGACAGTATGGAAGTTTGTCTTCGACTGCAATATGTTTTGTAAAGAGATATGTACCTCTATTGAACGGTTCGACAACCTTTTTGACAATTTAATTGAATTGAAGTTATAAAATTATGTGCCAATGCAAAGGGTTGCTCAAGATGGTATCTCATTCACGTGATAGTATCTATGTGCTGCTTCGGAAACCGCTTAGCATCGAGTAGACTGTGAGATCTTCTGCCCTTACATTAAAAAGAGAAAAAAAAAACTATTCTGTCACTAAGTCCCGTGAAGATATTTTTATTTGCAAGCTACACTGAGAGCGCAGCTTATAATATACTACAGGGGAACCCGCAGAGGTCGTTGTACTTTTAATGGCTGTTAAAGTCAATTGTCGAAATTTAAGGCAATTAGAAACCTCTGTTGTTATGGATTAACGGCCGCGGTTGAATTGTAAACGTGGTTTAAGTATGAAATTATTCAAATAATATTACCTTAGAACGATGGATAAATAATTTATTTATTCAGTTAGTTGTCCTATTAAAGCGATTACTAATTCAGAATATCGGTAAAATTGACACTATAGTACTTTTTTTTTTATGGCTTAGATGTGTGGACGAGCTCACAGCCCACCTGGTGTTAAGTGGTTACTGGAGCCCATAGACATCTACAACGTAAATGCGCCACACACCTTGAGATATAAGTTCTAAGGTCTCAGTATAGTCACAACGGCTGCCCCACCCTTCAAACCGAAACGCGTGACTGCTTCACGGCAGAAATAGGCGGGGCGGTGGTACCTACCCGCGCGGACTCACAAGAGGTCCTACCACCTACAAAATCAATCATCATCATCTTAGCTTGTCCATTATCCAATTGATGTCCAGTGCGGTCCGTTGCTACCTGCATTCAACGTAATCCAGCTATTTTGCACTAGGTCTTCGTTCCATCTGGTAGATGGTCGTCCCACACTGCGCTTTCCAGATACGTGGTCTCCAATCAAGGATATTTCTGCCCCACCGGCCGTCCGATCTTCGCGCTATGTGGTTTCATCAATCATGTTTTGCAATCAATGTCACCTCATAATAACGTGTCAAGTGGGTGGGTACCACCACCCCGCCTATTTCTGCCGTGAAGCAGTAATGCGTTTCGGTTTGAAGGGTGGGGGAACCGTTGTAACTATACTGAGACCTTAGAACTGATATCTCAAGGTGGGTGGCGCATTTACGTCGTAGAAGTCTATGGGCTCCAGTAACCACTTAACACCAGGTGGGCTGTGAGCTCGTCCACATATCTAAGCAATAAAAAAAAAACAAATATGTACGGCGCACCAAGATTCCTAATTGCCGCCGTAGCAAGACTTTGAATTTGATTGCGAGAACTACCCGTCTAACTTGAGTCAGGCGGTGTGTACCGCATCGTGTAACTGTACCCGCGGCGGCTAGAGCCCGGCGAAGCATATCGGCTGTGTAATGAAGGTTATTTCGGAAACTTACAATTCACCGCCGCGTTCAACATCTTCGCAGGAAATGAATCACGGAAGGCCCCCACCGTGAAAGACTCTAAACATAATTAAAGATTAAGGACGTAGCGTCAGATTTCAATGATTCAAACATTTCAAAATGTAATTATTACTGAATACAGACAATCTTTGCGACCGTTTTATTACAAGATTTCTTGATTGTATATCAATTTCAAGATTGTATTTATCGTCTAGCGGTCAATGTGGCATAGTATATTTTGAGATCGCGCGAGTTAATAACATTATCAATTTTCGTCTGTGAGCCCTCCATACGTCCATATGTTTTCTCTGGATATTTAGCGCTGTAAAAGACAAAATAAACTTATAACACGCTAATAAAGAGCATAGTCCATAAATATCTCGGCGAACTAACAATTCAATCCAGGAATGCATTTTACGTCAATAAAACGAAATAACAAACGAAACTTAGCACGACTTTTTCGAGGAAAGTCTAGAATGTTCTATAAAGTTAAAAACTAACGAACGTTTAATGGTTCATTGACCTAGACGGCTGGCTACACGACAGCTTACTCCGTGAGATTGTTCTAACCTTACGTACGATTAATTTTGATATTTTTTAATGATTGTCAAACATGCCTTTATGTTTTATATAGCCTTGATTTTTGTTCGGTTATATTTTTATAACGCTTTATTGAAATAGTTCGTTCACCTTCTTTTTATACTGCCCTGGTAATTCCCTTTTTGCAACGTTTAAAAAAAATACTAATTTTGCTCGAATTTGTTTGGTCGAATATTCAAGGATGGCTATACAGGAGAATATAGATACATATGTATATTGTTGTTGCTATAAATAGTTTTAATTTAATTTTTCAGTTGCGACGGCGGAGAGCGGCGGGAAGTATGTCCCCCGCGCCATCCTCCTCGACCTCGAGCCCGGCACCATGGACGCCGTGCGCTCCGGCGCCTACGGGCAACTCTTCCGGCCGGACAACTTCGTCTTCGGCCAGTCCGGCGCCGGCAACAACTGGGCCAAGGGACACTACACGGAGGGCGCTGAGCTCGTCGACGCCGTCCTTGATGTAGTACGCAAGGAGTGTGAGAACTGCGATTGCCTCCAGGGATTCCAACTGACTCACTCACTCGGCGGCGGCACCGGTTCCGGCATGGGCACCCTCCTCATCTCAAAGATCCGTGAAGAGTACCCCGACAGAATCATGAACACATACTCAGTAGTCCCCTCGCCCAAAGTATCAGACACTGTCGTCGAACCATACAACGCAGTTCTCTCCATCCATCAACTAGTCGAGAATACAGACGAAACTTACTGCATAGACAACGAGGCTCTTTACGATATCTGCTACAGGACTCTCAAGGTACCGAACCCAACGTACGGCGACCTGAACCACCTGGTGTCGCTGACCATGTCCGGCGTGACGACGTGCCTGCGGTTCCCCGGACAGCTGAACGCCGACCTGCGCAAGCTGGCGGTCAACATGGTGCCCTTCCCGCGTCTGCACTTCTTCATGCCCGGCTTCGCGCCGCNCAACGAGGCCCTTTACGATATCTGCTACAGGACTCTCAAGGTACCGAACCCAACGTACGGCGACCTGAACCACCTGGTGTCGCTGACCATGTCCGGCGTGACGACGTGCCTGCGGTTCCCCGGACAGCTGAACGCCGACCTGCGCAAGCTGGCGGTCAACATGGTGCCCTTCCCGCGTCTGCACTTCTTCATGCCCGGCTTCGCGCCGCTGACGTCACGCGGCAGCCAGCAGTACCGCGCGCTCACCGTGCCGGAGCTCACGCAGCAGATGTTCGACGCCAAGAACATGATGGCCGCCTGCGACCCGCGCCACGGCCGCTACCTCACCGTCGCCGCCATATTCCGCGGCCGCATGTCCATGAAGGAGGTCGACGAGCAGATGCTCTCCATCCAAAACAAGAACAGCAGCTTCTTCGTCGAGTGGATCCCGAACAACGTGAAGACAGCCGTGTGCGACATCCCTCCCAAGGGTCTGAAGATGTCGTCTACGTTTATCGGCAACACGACAGCCATCCAGGAACTATTCAAGAGAATATCCGAGCAGTTCTCCGCCATGTTCAGACGTAAAGCTTTCTTGCACTGGTACACCGGCGAGGGCATGGACGAGATGGAGTTCAACGAAGCAGAGAGCAACGTCAACGATCTGGTGTCTGAGTACCAACAGTACCAGGAGGCCACCGCGGAAGACGACACCGAGTTCGACCAAGAAGACCTGGAGGAGTTGGCGCAGGACGAGCACCATGACTAGATTTAACCTCTGACCCTTACTATGACCTTTGTAACTCACTTTCGAAGCGAAATCGCATTGACGCTGCATAGTAAGGGCTATCTCGGGGGTGCTGTCATATCTATCCTTCTCGTGTGTAATTAGAGGCTAAGTCGCGTGCTGACACCAGGCCGAGTGTCCCCGGCGGACCGACGACCATCTCGAAACTTTCAATGCGATCTCGCACTACGACCCGTCATTCGTTTGACGAGTCTCAAAGTGCAAAGTAATGGTAAAAAATCATTATTAAGTATAATATTATTATATTAAAAGTCTGTTTTTAATATAAGGAAACTAAAGAGTCGGAACTAATTGAACGTACCAACTTGTGCATTTTTAGCTTAAGTTATTGTCTGTACGGCTTTTATATATTAATTTATAAATAAATGTCTAAAACAAACAATCTTTTTCATATCATGTGCACATACAGTAGGGATATCTGTTGTATAAAATATATATTAACCTTACAGCCGATGCTCCATTATGATCCACCATGCCCCATTTTTTTTAAGGGATTTTATGCCCTGGCAATTAAGACCTTTAGGTCATGTTTTATTTTAATGTTATTGATAACTTTTTTTTACATGAAAAATGACATTATAAAGTGAAGTCGATTAATATGAAACATGGAATGAAAAGAAATAAAAGAAATGAAAGGAGATGATATGGGATGAAATATAATCTCTGTAAAATGGTAGTCAATTATTGAATTTTTCAGTGAACTTTTTTGAGGACCCCGAGATGCTACGTCCAGCGACTTTATTTAATTTTCCCACATTCGTGCACTTTCACAAACACTAAGCAGTTAACAAACCACTGTTATTACACATTTAAACCCGAAGAAACACTAAATAGACAAAATAAAACATATCACACAACTTCACCATTTCCCTTTCAACATTCCCGCCAAAAAGTCCCACCACGCTCCAAATGTCCCAAAACAAAAAACTACCCTCAGTAGTCAAATACGTTTAATACTATCATTACAAATAAAACATCACTTCATCATTAGTACAATCTAAGGTTTATCGCAATCACTTCATGACTTTCTCTCCCAACTTGACTACTTTATCCAGATTATCCTTCAAGGTCTTCAGCTGGTTAAGAACGTTTGTGTCCATCAATGAAAACGGGATGTAGGCCTGTGACTGCCTCAGTTGCTTCGGTTGAAGGGAGAGCATTGTGCCATCTTGAAGGAGAATATTGCAATTGGCCATCTCATCAGGTTGCATTCTGAAAAACAAATCTCATATAAATATTACTGGCAGGGGAAAACCCACACCAGTTTGTACCACCGCCATATACATTTCTGCCACAAAGTATTAAGAAATGTTGACTTGACAACTGTATTTATTTACATTGTGATGTCTAAACATCTTCCTGTTACACTAACCAACCAACTGATCAATAGCAACAAAAGAAAACCTTCAAGACCGGAACATACATATCCCTATTTCTTAGTATTATCATGTCAGTCATTTTCAGTGTTACCATTTGTATTTCTTATATATTGATCAATAAATACTCACGTGTAGCATGTTGGCACCATAACCGGAGAGCCAGACATCGATACAACCATCTCTCCTTGACGGGGCTGCCTCAAAACCGTCAGGGGCGTCTGAGGGGTCACCTGAAAAACAGTTATTTATAACTTTAGTAGAGGCACAGATATATCTCCCACGAGAGTTGTTAGTGTGATGTGTGTCAGTTTTTCTGAAACATAGAATGCCCTTAAGAAGTGTTTTAAACACATTCCCATGTCCGATAGAGTTCTCTGCAATTCAACATGAAAAAACACGCTTCCGTTGTGTCGGGGAAGCTTTAAGACAGATTTAACAAGCGCCATTCTAGCTCCTACAGGAAGTTAGCGAGACCAGGTCGTTGATTACCTTATAGAACAACCTTAGTTATTATAGACTTTTTTTGCATGAGGAGCAGTCCTGTCTCCCTGCACAGAGGAGACTGCTGTCACCTTTTGCTGCAATATATATTGCATAGTCTCGATCGTTTCAATCATGGTCAATAATTGGGCCAACTAGAGTGTTACCTTAGCTATCGTCTATGGAGACAGAATTACATATCATAAATTTAAGTTTTCGACAATATGCCACAATTATATTATTATGTATGTGTATCACGGTATTGCAGATTTTTATATCTCCGTTACTCAACTGCATACAGCACACACATAGAAATAACAAATAAAGACTAAGGTTTTACCACTCAATATGATTTCTGCTAGATAAGCCTTGTAAGGTATGAAAAATTTGTAATAAGAATAAATGTTGAAATAGTCATAAATTCTCTATGACTATGATCTAGCTGTATGACCTGATAGATGGACCAATTCTAGGCCAAGTAACCTGTTCTAATATACCATTGGAACAATTTAACAACATCACATTTTGTCAACAGAAATTTACATGATATTGAATATTCATGATTTTATTTTCCTAACTATTCTAGTAATCTCAAGGGGCTATTCTAGATTCACCGAACTGGTAGGTGAGCTCACGGCGTTCAAACCTGACGTTATTGCTAACACTAGCTCTAGAAGGAACAGTGCTTCGCAGAATCTACCACCAGATCCGAATCGCTAGCCACTGAAAAGATCATGTTGATGTGAATATCCTCCATATTTCAAATGAACCACCCAAAATCTTACCTTAGGCGTGATAGCAGGGTAGTATGTCGACGCATTCTTGTTGCAGGCGGGGGTGCGGTACACGGAGCGCGAGCGGCGGCGGGGCGCGCTGAGGGAGGGGGCGGCGGTGGGGCGCGGGGGGCGCGCCGCCGAGCGGGACCGCCGGGGCGCGGCTCGACTCGCAGACTTCGGTACCGCTGTCACAAGACAAACGTTATAAGACCAAATGTATTGGCTTTCACACCGGACAACATATAGGAGTCCATCTTACTATAGACCGTTATGACTCCATCCAGTGTTACTACTACTTTACCATTTTCGGTCCCTAGCAGTTTTTTTTTATTGCTTAGATGGGTGGACGAGCTCATAGCCCATCTGGTGTTAAGTGGTTACTGGAGCCCATAGACATGTACAAATTAAGTGCGCTACCCACCTTGAGATATAAGGTCTCAGTATAGTTACAACGGCTACCCCACCCTTCAAACCGAAACGCATTACTGCTTCACAGCAGAAGTAGGTAGGGCGGTGGTACCTACCCGTGCGGACTCACAAGAGGTCCTACCACCAGATCCTAAGATTATTTTGCAAAGTAATGTTCCTTATAACTTCCATTATAAATACATATTTTACAGCATCAAGAAAACACATTCATATCAGTACCGTACAATACACACACTATATACATACAGTATTACCATTAAATTGTCACAAACAATACTGTAATCTGAGAAGATGTGAAGATAATGAAATATAAAAGCTGATAAAGCATCCAAGCATACTCACACAGATATTTCTTGGAGACTCTTTCCCCGGAGCCCTGTGATGAGTTCTCGGTGAGGTAGCCTGCCCCAAGAGCACCCGGTTAGTGGAAACACATGAAACGTATGTACTTGTTAGTGCGTGAAAAGGATTATATACTCAAGAACCAATGGACCCGATTTGTGATTAAATTTTCTTATAAAGAAAATGGTTAATTTGTGTATAAAACTTTTATCTGAGCCTTTCATTCAATCAAAATGTGCTAATATGGCCATTACAACAGTTATTATTTTTTAACATTTAATATAAAATTTTCATACCACTTTTTGTTTTTTAATATGCTGTAAGTTCTAGAAACTTTGCTAAACTTTATCTCTTTTACTAATGTGGGTTTTTCATTAAAGCTCTAATGAAGACAGAATATTTGGAATAGTTTAGATGATAGAAACTGTACAATTAAATGTATTTCAAGTTATATTACCATCATCATGTGAGGCAGATCTGCTTGAATTCCTTGTTTGCCTTGTGTTCGTTACTTCTTGGAGGTGTAATTCTGTTTTCTATAGATATACAACATGATTCATTTGTGTTACTAAGTCAATGTCAGTCAGCTTCTATGATGCAACATTTTTGGATTAAATAGTTTGGTGTAATAACTTTTGTATTTGCATTCGGAATAGCATCACTTCAATGAAAGAATATTCTAAAGATTCACTGTATGAAATTTACAAGTGTTCTAAGTGGATACCTATTATTTACCATACTGGATCTTAAGACTAGTTATTGGCTATTAATTGTTTGAAGAGCTAGCAATCAATGGAAGTATTTATCACCTTTTCTTTTCTACTTTGGTATATTGTGAGCTAGCTATTTATGGCAAGAAACAGTCATGTTCTAGTTTCGACGGCATAATAGTCTTTTTGACTTTAATTGAAAGATTTACCTTACTACTTATGGACTCTGATTCTAAGCACATAATAATATGCTAATCTATTTCTATATAAACAGAGAGTTTACAAATTTTATACTTATACTTACTAATTCACCGACAGTCTTCTGCAAGTACTTATTGCTGATCGAACCCAACAGAATCTTGAAGGCCAATTCAACATTACGTATTTCCATTTGTGTCCTGGAGTCTATAACGTTCTTTTCATCGAGTACTGGGAATTATTTTTATTAGTTATTATATTATAGTATATTAATTAAGATGATTAATTTTATTTATTTGTTATTAAAAATGATATGTAATTAAAGTAAGTTTGATTTTTTGCTCATTGACAAAAATATTGCTAAATTTATATTTTCTGCTTTGCATGTAATGTAAGACGATTAAAAAACACCAGAAACATAATGTACAGGATCATCCATCTGAGCTTACAAAGTCAGAAGCGTCATGTTTGGATTTTTTGTAAACAATAGGTAGATATGTTTTATTTATACAGTGAAGAAAAGCGCACTGTAGCTGACGGACTTCGACATTGTTAAAGGCGGAGCCAGTTCGCTGCCTATAACTCGTAGTAGTATTGGCGTAGTTCCATACGGTTGATTGTGTGCACACAATAATGGCAATTTTTTTTTTATTGCCCTTGCAGGCAGACGAGCGTACGGCCCACCTGATGGTATGGACTTCAGCAATGCCAGGGGCAGATTCAAGCCGCTGCCTACCGAATATTTGGAAATAGATAAAGTTGGGCTAATACGACGAACGAAAAGAGACATCCATATCATTTTCCCTCAATGCGTATATTTGAATGAATACATAGTAGTGGTACTAAATTAATGAAAGATTTACCAAGTTTGTTCAACTTTTTCAATGTATCATCATCTTCAACTGTTTTGTCTTGCTTCCGTACAGGACGTTTGGTTCTAGGCATGTTTTCTAAATTTTATTACAAATTTATTAGAGTTACTTGATTTTAGTCTGTTCTCCTATAATCTTTAGACAATATAACACGCTTAAAAGTTATTAAAGCACTAGCTCCCAATTATGAACCCGAAATCAAATGTGATTGTTAATTTTTCAAAACAAAACACAACCGTCCATTTTTGAAAATTTCATATTTTTCTTTGATTAAACTAATTGAACATGCTAAGGAAAAAATCCGTACAGCCAAGGATCAGAGTGTATCTTTTAAAATTGAAATGAAACGGTATGAAATGAAGTTCATACACAGAATTTAAGAAATGATGGAAAATAACTACTAAGTAAAATGGTCGAAAAGTACTGTAACTTCCATGAACTTTTTGGTAGAAGCCGAGAAAATACATTTTTGTTTTTATTATTACTTTTAAGGGTCAACGAACCACATTTTGGCTTCTGGTGTCCTATTAACAATATCAACTTCATGCAGACATGTGTTTGGTTTTGAAAGGTGGGACAGTGGCTGTACAATGCAATTAAGCCGTCGGTTTCAAGCGTTAATGATGGTTTTGACGTAATATCTACGGGCTTCGATATCTACTTACACTTGATAGATTGTGAGTTCATTCACTCGTCAGTGAAACCAATACGAATTAGAATTTGTAAGTCCTGATAATTTTACGGCTATTGTATCAAATAAAGTTTTTTTTTTGTAAAAAAATGTGAGTCGTCACGGGACGCCTGGCAGATGTGCAACATCGACATTATTTTGTAAAAGTAATATGCAGAAAAGAGCAGATTGTGATAGGAACTAAATATGTCATAATGATAAAATAAAATATTACGAAAAAATAATTTATTTTCAAGTAAAACACAGAGAGAATGGCACAGTCGATTGCGCATGGCGACGCGTCGCCACACTGTACACACTACTGCATATAGACTGTATACATATACCATCATATAGCAACGCGTCCCTAAGGCATGCGTCGCCACGCCAAAAATCGTTTTTACGTGCGGCTATAGATGTTTCACATCAAAAACTGCGTGTCCATTTGTAGGTATGCGAAAAACGCGAGATCATATAATTTACCAATGCTACCAAAGTTATTTAAGAAGTGTTTTCCCGTTTTCGCTCATAATACTTGCAATCAGGAGGCATATCACTTACGTGTATAAATAATAAAGTGTGTTTCACTGAACTAAGAGACAAGGGCGGATCCAGCTTTGGTGCCAGGAGGGGGTCACATAGTCATAGTCAAGTCAAGAACTTATAATTTAATTTTGATAACAATAGATACAAGTAAAAAGTAGGTTTTTTATTAATGGACGTAAGTACTGTACTTAAAAATATTTATTCTTTATTGTACACTTGAAAAACTTAACACATAATAACTTGTACATATTTAAAAGCTTTTATTTTTAAAAGCATTAAAATCAATGTGGTCACGACGATACACTTGATTTCATTGTGTGAATTTATCTAAGATTTTATTAGGTTGGGTTAGAAACCTTATGCTCTTCAATCTCTCTCATCCAAAAAATATATATAAGTAGGTACATAAGTCACGCAGGACTCTTTCAGTAAGTAGGTACCTTTTTTTTTTAACGCTGGGGAATCCATTTACGGATACCCTGTCGAGGGGGGTAAGAGACCGGGTTATGTCGGACTCCGGCGCCTCCACAGAAGAACAGGGAGAAGAAGAAGACAGGGGTCCTCCTCTTCTCCCAATTCCTGCCGGGAGACTACGCCTTGAGAAAGGCGCACGAGGCACTGCACGGCGTCAGCCACCAAGAGCTGCCCCGCAAAACCGACTACCGACTAAACCCCATCGAGCCCCACCATTCCGACTCCACGAAACCCACGGTACCGCACAGTGCGCGCCGAAGGCTCGCCGTCGCCGGTACCCATCCTGTTAATAGGACGGCACTCCATTCCCGGGAAAATCCCGCAAGACGTCGTCTCGGACACACCGTGAGCGGTGCACAGGAGCCACCTTGCGCCGCCTCACCACCGGACCAACAGCCGAGTACCGGGCACCCCCGCACCCGGCACCCGACAGCCCCTACGGGAGATGAACGGGAGCTTCGCGCCCGTGCCGTCCATTCCGCCTTCTTCGCTGAGAAGCCGAAGAGGGATCCCACTCCCTTTCGCGCTCCTCAGCCTCACGGAACGCCATGACCAGGTCGCAAAACCTGGTAATGGCCTCCCAAGAATTCTGGTCCTCTAGCATGCGGGCGATGACAGCCCGCAAGGAGAGGTCTCTCCCCAGCACCGTGATGAGGTCTCGCCGCGAGCGCTCCCAACGCGGGCACCCTTCGAGTGTGTGCTGAGCGTCATCATCCGGATGCCCACACTGGTGGCAACCCGGATGTGGCTCTCTCCTGCAAACCTTCCACAGGTACCTCTCGAAGCAACCATGCCCCGAGAGGACCTGCGTTAGGTGGAAGGAGAGCACGCCGTGTCGTCTATCTAACCATGCCTCCAGCACGGGCACCAGGGCCTCGAGGGTGCGTCGGCGAGTGAGTGAAGTTAGGCCAAGCTCCTCCAGCAACCGCTCCCTCCACTTGGCGTACGCCAGATGACGCGCAGCACGCCTCCACCGACCGACAGCCGAAGGGCCGGGCGTCCGTCCCCGACTCAGGGACTGTGTTCTGCGCCGGTATACCGCAGCTGCTACCTCGGCCTCGAGATCCCAAGGAAGGGAACCGGCGAGGGCGCAGGCGACCTCCCGGGAGATCGTACGGTACCCCCTGATGACCCTCACCGCGAGCACCTGCTGCGCTCGTAGCAGTAAAGCTGCATTGCGCGCAGAGAGTGCGGGCGACCACACGGGAGCGCCGTACAAAGCCATACTGCGCACGACCCCCAGGTACAGACGCCGGACGCCGGCGCTGCAACCACCGACGTTGGGGAGAAGACGGGCTAGTGCACCCGCCATCCCCAGCAGCTTCGGGACTAACTCACCAAAGTGGTGGTCGAAGCGCCATCGACTGTCCAGCACAAGGCCCAAATATTTGAGCTTCGGCTGGACAGCGATCGATACTCCGCCGACTATGAGATTCGCTCCCGGAGGAGGTCCCCTCCGGACTGGGTGAAAGCACACCGCTTCGGACTTGCGGAGGGCCACCTCAAGACCTAATCTCCGAATGCGACTAACGACGGTGGAGACCGCCGCCGTCGCAAGGATCGCTGCGGCTCTGTAGTCGGCTCCGCGGGCCGTCACCAGCGTGTCGTCGGCATAGCACACTACGTCGACGCCACGCAGGCTAGCACCGCGCAGGACCCAGTCGAAACCGATGTCCCACAGGAGTGGTCCCAGTACCGACCCCTGCGGGACCCCGCACGACACCGCTTTCCGTCCCCACCCCCTCCTCTCGGGGAAGACTACATTTCGCCCTGAGAGGTAATCCTCTATCAGGGTCCGGAGACTAGGGGGGACGCGGTGAAACCGGAGCGATTCCACGATCGTGCTCCAAGGGATCGTGTTGAAGGCGTTGGCGATATCAATCGACACAGCCAACAACACGCCCCCCTCGGAGCACGCACGATCGGAGAGGTGGCGGACGCGCAAGACCGCGTCCATGGTGGAGCGACCTCTCCGGAAACCATATTGGTTAGGAGCCAGGTCAGGCCCAACGCTTTCGAGGTGCTGGACGAGGCGACTGGCGACGATGCGCTCGAGGAGCTTACCAGGCTCGTCCAGCACGACGATTGGGTGGTACCCGCTTGGCTCGTCACGTGGCCGGCCTTCCTTAGGAATAAAGACAAGCCGACCAGTCAGTAAGTAGGTACCTACATATCTACCTATGAGGTACTTTATGAGCATTAACAACAATAACATTTAAGTTAAAACACACACACTGGGATAATGAGAAACTGATTACTTGCCATTTCTTGTAATTAATGAATTTACAGTAACAATTTTTAAGAATACTCATAAAGGTACAATTTTAACACATTAAAGCTAGAAATAAATTTCAGTTTTTTAACTTAGAACTATGTTATGATATGTTGAAGTTTAGTCGTTCCGATTCCGATTGAGGTTAGGATTCAATTTGAGGTTAGGCCTAGCTAGACGTTACGTAGTCGACAAGCGCGCGCGAGTGTGGCGCGGTAAAATTAAAAATTTTCGATGCGTTCGTTCCCAAACAATTGCCACCATACAAAGTTATTTTAATATATTAAATTAATTAAGGAGCAACAATATATTGTGTCCTAAAATCATTATGTTCAATATGCGGTCCACCTAGGTCCTGGAACCAGCTCAGGGGGGGGTCATGACCCCCATGACCCCCCCCCTGGATCCGCCCTTGCGCTCGCGCTGGCCTGTAACAGGTATACTACGCGCATGCGTTCGAGTGTCACTCATTCACTCTCGCTCTGTCTCTTTTCCCCCTACCCAGGAGCGTTAAACGTTTAATGCAACCTTGTTAGAAGTCGCATTAGAAGTAACACTTCAACAAAGGTTTCTCAATAAATTAAGCGTCAATGACAATGCGCATGCAATTATTGCATTACAGTACGCCAGTTGCCCGGAGCCTGTCTCCATGTAAACATATATACCATCTTAAAGAATAAACGGTGTTTTTCATTACGTGTATTAGTTCTTTATTATTGACGTCACAATCGGTAACAACTTCTACAGAAGTGACCCAAAAGTACCGATTTCAAAGACATAATATATAATAAATGCCTCAGAAAAAATACGAAAGTCGTGTCCACAGTTTTGTGTTTAATTGTACCTCGCCGGGATATAACCGAATCACGAGGGTGGCTGTGTGTCCATTTCACGCTCACTTGCCAATCAACTGTCCACGGAAGGTCGTACCTTGATTTTATACAAAATGCTATGACGACAGAACAAACTGTTATTTGACGAATTATTTTTATTGATTAGATGGGCGAATAATCTCACAGCCCACCTGGTATTAAGTGGTTACTGGAGCCCATAGACATCTACAACGAAAATGCGCCACCCACCTTGAAATATAAGTTCTAAGGTCTCAAGTATAGTTACAACGGCTGCCCCACCCTTCAAACCGAAACGCATTACTGCTTCACGGCAGAAATAGGCAAGGTAGTGGTACCTACCCGCGCGG